ACATTGGCGCGTTTAGCGAAACAGTGCAAAGAGTGTGAGGCCAAAGCTGAGGCACTCGAGGAGGAACGAGACGCTGAGTGTGCGGCTCGAAGCCGAGCCGAACGAGGTCGATCGGATGTGCATCGAGAGTTGAGTGAGTTGAACGATCGTCTGGACGAGGAACGCGGCGTGACAGCGCGACAGATTGAGATTGGGAAACGTCAAGAGGCTGAGATTGCAAAACTAAGACGCGAACTGGACGAGATGAAGGTCAGGGAGTATTCGCAGCTGAACGCATTGAATAAGAAAAATACGGACGGAATTGCAGAGTTGAACGATCAAATCGCTGAAATGAAACGACAAAAGGCGAAAATTGATAAGGAAAAGGCCAGTCTGACGAGTCAAGTCGAGATGGCAATGTCACACTGCGATGCGCAGACAAAACTTCGTGCTGATGTTGAGCGTCGTCGCAAAGAACTTGAAGTAACATTAGCGGATTTGGGACAACACTTCGATGAGCAATCGGCGAAACTCCAAGACTCAACAGCGATCAGAAATCGTACGTCGTCAACGAATGACGAGTTGAAGAGTCGTATTGAGGAGCTGCAAGCAGAGATCGATGCGATCACCGGCTTGAAGACACAAATCACCCATCAGCTGGACGAAACAAGACAATTGGTAGCTGAAGAGAATTCCGAAAAGAAACGACTTGATACATTGGTTAAGAGTCTTCGGATTGAAAGTGAACACACGAATGCATCGTTACAGGACGAGATAGCTGCTCGAGACGAGCTAGAAGCGCAATTGAACAGAGCGCTTGCAGAAGTACAACAACTGAAGGGACGATTCGAAAGTGCTGATTTGCTGGATGAGAATGTCATCGAGAAGCAAAAAATGATGACATGTTCAGCGATAAAAGAAATCGAGATGAAGCTGGACACGAGTAATGCCAAAATAACGACACTTCAGAAGGAAAAGGATCGATTGAGCGAAGAAGTGAACGATATTAACAATGAAGTGGAGCGATTGAGCAGTTATATAGGCCAATTGAATAAGAAAGAGAAAAGTTTCAACGAAACGATTGGCGAGTGGAAAAAACGTGTTGATGATGCCAGTAACGAATTGGATTCAGCACAACGCGAATGCAGACTGTGCACATCGGATCTCTTCAAGGAACGTACTGTGAACGATAATCTCACCATGCAAATGGAGGGTTTGAAATATGAAAATGCAAATTTGGATAAGCAATTAAAAGAGCTGCGTGTTCAGTTCGAAAACGGTGGTAAGAGCATAAATGAGAAGCAAAAAATGATGAAAAGCTTCGAGTTGGAGAAAGAGGAACTGCAACGTTTGGTTGACGAAACTGAGGCAGCCGCCGAAAGTGAACAAAATAAAGTTTCCAGATTCCAAACAGAAATCAAGGAGATTCGAGCAAATATCAGCAAGAAGCTGAAAGAGAAGGAGGAAGAATTTGAGAATGTTCGCAAAAATTATCAGATTTCAATGGAATCCATTCAGGTGGAGTGTGTTTTGGTGTTGCACTCTTTGATTTGGTGTGGTATTAGTTGATGGGAAAATTTCTCATTGTCCACTTTGGTAGCAGTTCTGAAAAATGACCGTTCCAAATGCCCCGAAATAGTGAGGAAGGAACGAGGTGATCTGTCTGTTTTTGAATGTGGTGATGTGTGTTTGCAATTACAGGGATCGCTTGAAGCTGAGAAAAATGAAAAATCAGAATTACAACGGCTGAAGAAGAAACTTGAAGCGGATGTGAACGTTAGTTGGTTCTTGATAATAAGTGATAACGATTTAAAGAATGCGGTATGGCCGGAAATCCAATCAATCAAAAGAACTTAACAGGATTGGGAATATTCTTTATTAGAACAGAAATTTAAGAGATCTTCATGAAATAAGAAAAGGGTATGTTACTGACTGCTCAGATTGTGCTTCTGGAAGTTTGAAGAAGACGGCACCACTCGAGATGAACAAAAATCAGCTTATTGATTACAATCAAACATTCTTTGAAGGACCTCGAAACTGCTCTAACGCATGCGAATTCGGCCAACGAAGACACACAGACGAATCTGAGGAAGTATGCACAGCAGATCAGTGAGCTGCAGCACGTACTCGAGGATGAGCAGATACGACGACAACAATTCAGTGAAGATTGTGTAAATGCTGAGAAACGTCTGGCATTTGTACAGTCCGAAAAAGAAGTTCTTGAGCTGAAATCATCACAGGTGCCTTTCGATTGTTAGTGTAGCCACTGGATTGGTATGCAGTTCGTTTCCGATGGTAGTTATCCAGAATATGCATTCAGCATCCCTGTACCAATTTTCAGGTGTCTGCATTGGTTGAAAATCGTAATAATTGAATCATGATAATTAAACACTATTGATGTGGATTCTATGATAACCTGATAGTGCCCATAACCTTCAGCTCAATTAAGAACGAATGAAGAACGACTATCAACAACGTATATCCCAACCAGATGTAGCAGTGTTGAATTTCAGGCTGAACGACTTAACAATCAGCTGGCACTCGAAACGAATGAAGTACACCAGCAAATCGACAAACTCACGATTCAGTGCAACGACATTAACGCTGCTAACAGACGAATGCAAGAGGATATTGTTCAGACAAGGGTTGTGGGCGCATTTTCCACTGAAATTTTGACCGTTTTGACTGCATTTCAACCATTTAAGCTTTGATTGAATGAATTCGACTATATTTATGACTGTTTCTGTTGTGAACTCTGATTTGGTTTTTTCAATGAATTTGAGATTTTAGAAAATATTGGTTTGATATGTGATGTTAGGAATGAATCGTTGAATTAGTTGCTCATGGTTTTTTAATATTGAGATGGCAATTATTTCTGTGAACACAGCCTAGAACAACAAACACAAGACTACTGAATTTTGAGTCTTTTCTGTTAGTCGATTAGTAATTATGTTTTCAGAATGTAACATGAATAATGATAAACTCAAAACCACCGCTATATGAGAACAAGTGATAAAATATCGTTCAGAAATGCTTCAATTTGGGAAATATTTACACTTACGATTAGAGTATCATTTGTATACTGTTTATTGTGAACAAAGGTTTGATGTGACATTTCAGGCAGATCTGGATGAAGCTTCGAACGAGTTGAAGAATTCAGAAAAATTATTCAAAGCAAACGCTTTGGAAGCATCGAATGCTTCGGAACAACTACGAATGGAACAAGCCAGAAGTGAGATGATCGAACGTGAGCGTAAATCATTGGAGATGAGCGTTAAAGATGTACAGTGCAAACTGGATGAACAAGATGCAGCGATGTTGACAGTGGCAAAGAATGAAGTGAACAAGATGGAAGATCGATTGAAGACGTTGAATGCGGACGGTGAAAATGCGCGAAGACGAACGCAAGATGCGATGAAGACGATTACGAAACAACAACGACAAATACGACAACTCGAATTCGAAATCGACGAGAATTTGAAACGAAACACTCAAATGAATGAACTCATTGAGAAGTTGCAAAACAAACTGAAGCAGCAGAAGAAACAAATTGATGACGCGGTGAGACACCTCATACCCTACTGCATGTTTCTGAAAAAACTGGAATGCACTAGTTATGAAAAGATGAGCGGTGAAATAAGCTCATGCGTATCTGAAATAGTATTTCTGACAAAGCGCTAAAATTAATGACACTTAATTATGTGATAACCTTAATCATACCTGTTGCAAACGTTATCGAAACGACTTGTGATCATCATTACTGATCAAAAAACATAGCTTTACGGTAGCGCCTGCTCTTCGTTTTCGAGCAAGCAGTTGCACTGAGAAACCTTATGTATAGCAGTTTGGCGAGTGGTATCAGCAAATATTAGAGAGTCTAGCAAGGGAGGTTTCACTAGATTTTAGAGGTACTCTGAAAACATCACAGAGCCAACAAACTACGTTGTTGGATGTTGCCTTTGTGATGAATGAATTTGAGGAATGCCAATCGTTTTTACAACAATTTCTAAGAGGAATTATTTCAGGAAGAACTGGCCACATTGAATTTACAAAAGTATCGACAGATTTATACGCAAGTACAGAATGCTGAAGAACGAGCTGAAGCAGCCGAGAACAGCGTTCAGAAGATAAGGTCCAAAACGAAACTGAGAAATTCTGGTAGAACCGGCAACGTTTCTCCACATCAGTGACCTACAATCATTGAAAATAACCTTCTGAAAAATGCACATGCGTCTCAAATTGACAGCATATCGTATTTTGAAACGAAGTATTCTATTGATGTTCATCAAGATTTTGATTGATAATCAATCTTGTTTGTATGCGAAACTTCCGAGATATTTCCATTTCGCATGATACATGTATGTTAACTTCATAATACTCAATAAACAATTTCACTTCATTCATCCTTAACTCATTACCAACATCAGTGCCGTAAACAGCTCAAAATCCGCACTAAAACATCAATATCCAGTAAGACTGTTTCATCATGTACTTCACAAAACACCCATATAGCACAATTCTTGGTTTGGGTAGGCCTCACTGGAAATGTGGCGATAGTCTCCATCGTCCCAAAGATCTTTCTGTACTGCTCCAGTCCTCTCAGCCAGCCAGTTAACATCTTCAAGCGTTAAAGAAATGGAAATTTGGAACGGGGGATAATGTGAATTCCGAAGTCACTGAGTCCATTTCCCGCTATCCCCTGACATTCCCATGGTAGGCTACTATGCAGTTTCGAAATCAATCTTTG